GGGCAGGCACGGGCACTGCTGGGCTGGGGGGCACGAGGTGGGAGAGGGGACAGAGGGGCGGCAGCAGAGGGACAGGGATGGGAACGGGACCAGAATCAAAACCATGGGATCGGGCTCAAGGAGACAGGACAGTGGGAGGAGGAAGTGGAGCAGGAGCAGCTGGAGCAGGAGCAGGACGGTGGGGGAAGGAAGTGGATCAGAGCAGTGGCAGCAGGAGCAGAGGGAGAAGGAGCGGGGCAGTGGGAGGAACAGGGTCACGGGACCGGGATCAGGACTGTGGAGACTGAGGTCCCTCCGTGGCTGCACAGGGCCACCCTCAGGGACACGCACCTTCCCCAGGGGCTGTGACAGCCACCCACGTCCCTGTGCCCCTTCTGTCCTGCAGCCACCCCATCCCCTGGCCCAGGGCTCCCAGGGCAGCCCCTGGGGTGGGACACAGCTGTCCCTGTCACCCCAAGGCCCCATTTGGTCTGTCTGACTCAGTCTGGAGCCAAAGCAGCCCTGAGCACCAGCCTGGCCCTGTGCCCATCCCACAGTGGGACACGGCACACGCTGCTGATGCTGAGCCCAAACTGACTGTGGGCACCTCGGGATGAGCTGCACCGGGCAGGAACCATCCCCATGCCCATCCCCACCCCATCCCCATGCCCATCCTCACCCCCATCCCCATCCCATGCCATCCCATTCCCATCCCAGCAGGGAAACACCTGTGCCCATGAAGGGCATCACCACTTCATGGGAAATGGTGAAGAGGAGGGAAAGGAGGAGGAAGAGGAGGAGAAGGAGGGGCTGAAGGCCAGGGGTCACTTCTCCATCACCCAGCACCCCGGGGCTGTGGAGCCCCAGTGTCCCCAGGTTTGTCACCAGCACACAGCAAAGGTGGGCACACACCACGGTGCCCATGGAGGGGCAGGCAGTGCCCAAGGGCTCACACAGGAGCGTTCTGGCTCCTGCCAGCACCAGGTACAAGGAGCCTGTGGCACAACGAGGGGACCCGCAGGCATGGCCCACACTCACAGGGCAAATGCCTCACTGAGGGGTGGGCTTTGTGCAGGGCAGAGCCCCCACAGCAGCCCCAGGTCTGTCTGGGTGCCAAGGGGGGATGTGGGTGCCAGGGGGGGGACTCCAGGTCTGTCACAGCCAAGGTTTGCAGCCACAGCCAGCACATCTCAGTCCCAAGCAGCCCCCCCAGCCCCAGCCAAGCCCCCGACTCACACTCATCTTCCCAGGGAGGATGAGGAGGGACAGTGCCCTGCCCCTGAGCCCCTGTGTCCCCCAGCACGGGACAGGAGGGTGGGCAGGAGCCCTGCCAAAGGAACCCCATTCCAGGACAGGCCCAGGGCTGCCNTGGGCTGGAGGTGGCGGCACCCGCGTGTCCCCGCACGGTGTGGTGCCCGTCAATCCGTCCTTCCTCTCTGGGTTTTCCTCCCTGGCACGCGTTATGGGGGTAATGGAAAGTGTGATGGGGCAATTTAAATTTTCCTTGTTATCAGCGCTCCCTCAGAATGGAATCTTTGTCTCATGTGAAGCGTCAGGCGAGGGGGAAATTCCCCTCCCACCTGCAACAGCCAGGGCTGTCTGTGGTATCCCCAGCCCCTTCTGTGGGGCTGTCCCCCCTTGCAGCCCCAATGCTCATTGGGCTCCAGACACGGCTTGGGGTTCCTCTGCCCTCCAGGCTGTAGGATCCTTATCCATGACCCTCAGGGTGATGGGAGAAAGAGAGGCAGGAACTGGAGCCAGCACCTGCTGTGCCTGCCGGGGGTCAGTGCAGCCCCAGCCCCATCTTTGGGGTGCTGGGCAGAGGGTTGGGAGCCTGTCACAGGGGACAGGCCTGGCCCCTGGCTTGTCACAAAGGCTGAGCCCTGCGGGACAGAGCAGTGAGCTGCGAGTGTGGGGCTGCTGGCAGCATCGCCGTGCTCTGTTTCTGCCCCATCAGAGGGGGTGCTGGGGGCAGGATGGGGCCCCTCCAGTGCCAGGGCGTGCTGGGCGAGCTCTCCAGCGCAGCACCCGCCCCAGCTGCCGCCCTTCATGTGGTTTCCTCCTCCCTGCTGCTGTTGTGGGTGAGGGGGTGCAGCACCCGCTGAATTCCCTGTGCCCTGGGGCCACCTGCAGCCACCCGGGCCCGGGGATCTGCCTCTGGTAGAGCCTTGGCCCATCCTCGAGGGGTCCTCTGAGCACCCCAGCACCAGGGGCACCATATTGCCTGGGGCTCTGTGGCTCCCTCACACCCTGTATCTCCATGTAGGTGTGAGCCCCTGGCATCAACCAGCCCTGCCCCAGCCACCCCTGGGGCTGGCCTGGGGGGCTCTGCACGAGGGGCCAGGGTGCAGAGACCCCCGGGGCTGTGCGGGGCCAGGGCAGAGCTTCCCTGGGAGGGGATGGCATGGCATGGCATGGCATGGCATGGCATCGCATGGCATGGCATCGCATGGCATGGCATCGCATGGCATGGCAGCTCTGGCATCAGCCAGCCCTTGGCCTCTTCCAGGAGCGCAAGTCGTACAAGTGGAAGCAGCTGCTCTTCTTCTTCACCTTCATCACGTTCGCGTTCGCCGTGTGCGTTTACTTCCACCACAACTGGTACTGCGGCCCTGGAGGTGAGGGGGCTGCTGGGGGGCGTGGGGAAGGGGCTGGGTGCTCCCAGAATCACTGAATCCCAGGATTGTTAAGGTTGGAAGGGATCCCTGGGATCAGCAAGTCCCAGCTGTGCCCCATGCCCACCTTGTTCCCTGCCCACTGAGTGCCACCTCCAGGCCTTCCTTGGACACTTCCAGGGATGGGCACTCCAGACCTCCTTGGGCAGTTCCAATGCCTGACCACCCCATCTCTGAAAAAATTCCTTCTGGTGTCCAAGAATTCCTCCTGATGTCTGACATCCTCCTAATGTGATGCCTTGCCTTCCAATCCCAGCCCAGGGAAGCTCCAGGTGCCCAGCCACGCTTCTTCCCTGGTGGGGCCCAAGCCCCCCCGCCCCTGCTCTGCTGTCCCAAACAGAGACAGGGCCCACAGACCCCCCCCCAATTCCCGGGGCCGATGCAGCTGTGGGTGCCCCTCACCTGCTGTGTTTCCTCCCCCAGTGTACACTGTCTTCGCCTTCCTGGAGTACCTGGTTGTCCTCTCCAACATGGCCTTCCACATGACTGCCTTCTGGGACTTCGGCAACAAGGAGCTGGTGGTGAGCTCCCTGCTGGAGGACAAGCACTTCTAGGCAGCCCCGTGCTGGGGGCTCCTCTTCCCTGTGCTGCTGGAGGGGGGCTGCCTGTTTGCTGTGGAGCTGCTGCGAGGGTCCTGCCGAGGCCCCTGAGTGTCTGTCCCTCCTGCACCTGCAGCTCTGCTCCTGGGGAGATGGGGCTCTCCCAGGGACTGACCCCCTGTCCTGGCTCCCTCCAGCTCCAGGAGGGCAGGACAGAGCAGGAACAGGCACCTGCTGCTTTGGAGAATGCTCCAGGGAGAGCAGGATGCTGCTCCCAGTGTTGGGGCAGGGGGGTCCAGCCCTGCCCTGCCCTTTCTTGGCCTGGGGGGTCTCACAGTTCCTCCTCCAGGCTGGGGGTCTTGGGGCAAGTCCTCAGAAAGGGCTGGTGGCCTTTTGGGCTGGCTTCAGGCGCTGCTCTCTGACTGGCCTGGGCCAGGTGCTGGCCCACGTGTGCCTGAGTGCCCAGGAGGGGAGCGGGAAGGTGCTGGGCCATGCAGGGACTGCCTGGAGCAGGGTGGGAGCACACGGGGCACAGCAGGTGCTGGGAGCATGCAGGTCTCACTCCTGCCTTTCCCAGAGGCCCCAGCAGCACAGGGTGTGCCCGGGGTGCTGTGCCCGTTCCAGCCCAGCAGCACAGGCTGTGCCCGGGGTGCTGTGCCCGTTCCAGCCCAGTCTGAGGAGGAAGGCTGGGTGTGCTGGTGCTGGAGGGCTTTGCCCCAGCGTCCCCATGGCTTCCCCTGTGCCGTGGGGCTGGAGCTGGGACCTGCTGGGGTGCAGCAGTGCCCCCAGTGTGCAGCTCTGGCTGCCAGGGCACAGGGCACATGGCTGGATGGCGGATGGGGGCTGACAGTGTGCCCAAGCTCCTCCTGCAGTGCTGCTGTCTTGATTTGGGGAGGTCTGCACTTGCCAGGGTCTGTCCCACCCCACGGAAGGAGCAGTGTGGGTCCCCCCCTGCCCTTCACCTGAGCACAGCCACCACCGAGAGTCCCCTGGGATGTTCCAGAGCTCATCCCAGGGTGGGCAGAGCCTCCTCCAGCGGGAGCTGCGGGGCCCTGGCAGAGCTGGGGCCGGGCTGGCTTTGAGCAGGTCCTGCTGCACGTGTCCATCGTCGGTGTCCCCATCCATGGGCTCCATCCGTGTCCCTGCATGCGTGTGGCGCCTTGGCTTTGAGGTGGAAATAAAGCACTAAGTATTTTTGTGAGCTCCTGGCAACTTCCATAGCATTTCCACCTGACCCAGCCTGGCATGGCCCTGGCACAGCCCTGGAACAGCCAGCAGGTCCAGACCAGCACCGTGGGCAGCATGGGGGCTGGAATGGGGTGCAGGACACGGACCATGGGCTACAGGGCTGGAGTGTGGGATGTGGACCCTGGGTGATGGAGCTGGGGTGCAAGATGTGACCCCCTGTTCTGGGGTGTGGGGTGTGGATCCCTGGAGCTGGGGCTTGGGATGCAGATCCCTGCAGGATCTGCTGTGGATCACTGGGGTGTGGAATGTGAATCCTGAGTGATGGGGTGTGGGCTCTGGATCCTGCTCCTGGGGCTGTGGTGTGGGTCGTGTCCCTGGGTGCCGGATGAAGCCCGGGAAGGCTCAGTAAGGCTGGGAAGTAGCCAGGGGCCGGGCTGGAGGCGTGGNGATGCTGCTCCCAGCCTGGGCACCAGCGAGGGGATGGGCAGCTCCTCATCCAGCAGCTCCTGGAGCTCCCACCATGCTCCCCAAAGGCCCTTTCCCTTGCTGCTGCAGCAGGGCAGGGTGGCACTCCAGCTCCCACATCCCAGCTCCCACATCCCCCGGGGGTCCCCATGCACCCCCAGTGCCCCTGCTGTGCTGGGCATCCTGCCTGTGCTCCTGCAGGGACCTCCCGAGGTGCCACCTTCCCAGCCAGCTCTGCTGAGCCTCCTGGCATGTCACCAGGTGCCCTGTGATCCCCTGGCACCGGGCTGAGCCAGCTGTGCCCTGGAATTAGGGATTAACACCTAATCATCGGTGTGATAATCCCCGGCCCAGACCGGCAGAGGGGGAGCTCAGGGGGCACCCAGAGGTGCCAGGGCACTCTGGTGACCGGGGGTGGCTCCCACAGGGTGGCAGCAGGACCAGGGCGTTGGGCAGGGTGACCTGTGATGGTGTTCACAGGGGTCTTGGGTTGAGGGAAGAGACGAGAATATTGACTCCATGTTCAGAAGGCTTGATTTATTATATCATATATATATACATTAAAACTATACTAGAAGAATAGAAGAAAAGGTTTCATCTCAGAAGGCTGGCTAAGATAAGAACAGAAAAGAATTAATAACAAAGGCAACTGTCTCAGACTCTCTGAGCTAGCTGGGCTGTGATTGGCTATTAATTATAAACATCTAAGATGGGCTAATCAAAGATCTACCTGCTTACATTTTGTTCTTGAAGCTTCTCAGCTTCTCAAGCAGAAAAGTCCCTAAGGAGAGGATTTTCCTGAGAACATGTGTGCGACAATGACCCGGGGTGTTGCGTGCCTCGGTGCCCCGGCAGGAGCGGGTCC